GTTCTGCTATCCACTGCAGCGGTTATGGTACCCGACGCGTATGGCACGAGCCATAGTGTGCGTTGCTTATTAGATAGTGCATCACAGAGCAATTTTATAATGTTGGAATGTTGTGATAGATTAGGTTTATAAGTAAACAAAGACAACATAAAGGTAAAGGGTATCGGGGGTTCAGCAAAATACGCAAAGGGAGTTGTAGCATTCCAGTTCACTTCTCGTTTTAACCCTAACATAAGGTATAATATTTCGTCGCTCGTCGTCGATAGAATAACAGATGACTTACCGTCTATGCCTGTCGACGCATCCGCTATGCCGTTCTTACAAGATTTGCCGTTGGCCGATGAAAAATTCTTTGAGCCATCACAGATCGATGTTTTGATCGGTGCTTCTTTATTCTCACAACTTTTATTGCCCGGTATAGTAAGGGATAACTCTGCTGTACCGCCCGCTACACAAACCACGCTTGGTTACGTCATTATGGGCAATGTGCCCACTCTTCCCGCTCGCGAAAACGTAACCGTGAGTGTTGTAGTACATTACCCGCACACGCAGATGAAGACCCGCTAGATACGTTGGTAAATCGGTTTTGTCAAATAGATGAATCTCCTTTGAGAACTCCGCCCACTCAGTTCCCGGCTGAGATAGAGTGTGAGCATTTCTTTCGCAAAACAACTGAACGTGACAAAGAAACGGGCAGATACATAGTCTCGTTGCCTTTCCGGGATGATATATTTTCGCTTGGTGATACTTATAAAACCGCTCGGAAAAGTTTTCTGGTGTTGGAGAGGAAGTTTGAAGCCGCTCCTGAGTTTAAGGCCGCGTATGATTCAGTTGTACACGAATATTTAGAAAAGGGCTATCTATCACCCGCGCCGCTTGTTGACAGTGATACCTGCTACCCCGTTTACGTCATACCACACCACGGTGTTTTGCGTACAGATAAGACCACTACTAAACTTCGCATGGTTCTCGACGCGAGTCATAAATCGAGTTCAGGCCGCTCACTGAACGATATTCTCCATAGTGGTCCTAATTTACAAGGTGATCTGTTTGCAATTATTTTAAATTTTCGTCTTTTCGCTACAGCGGAAAGCTGATTGTAAACAGATGTTCCTTCAAATTATAATGAATAGGCGCGATCGTCGCTTTCAACGCGTTTTCACCCGCAAGAAGAACTTACCGAATATGAATTTAATAGGGTTTGTTTTGGACTTAGGTCCAGCCCGTACCACGCGCTCCGTGTCATTCAGCAACTCATTGCATATGATGAAGATTCATTTCGGCTAGCGAAGCGACGATATCTTTTTTAGTGTTACGTCGGAGGAAGAAGCTGCATCAGCTGCTAATGAGCTGATTGTGTTATTTAAACGTGTGCAGTTCGATTTAGTAAAATGGACATGTAATTCCGACTCGGTCTTAAGCGCACTGCCTTCGTCATATAAGATGTCTGATCCTATTGAATTTGATAGAACCGCTCAATTTAAAATTTTGGGCTTGAGTTGGCATAAATCTTGCGATTGTTTTGAATTTAAAGTAACCATGCCTGACGAAAGGTGTTCAAAACGAATAATTTTAGCCACTGTAGCTAGAATTTGGGACATAATGAGCTTCGTTGCGCCTGTTGTACTCTTCGCTAAACTTCTCATAAAGGATTTGTGGCAGTTGAAACTTGATTGGGACGATTGTCCACCCCAGAATATAGTTGAAACCTGGAAAAGGTTTTGTATAGAGTTACCGTTACTCAATGACGTCAAAATACCGCGACATTTGGGGGTCTTCGAACATTGCGTTGTACGACTGGTCGGCTTTTCCGATGCTATCGATATATTTATCGCACGTCTCGAGCTCTGTGCTGCCGAATTATTGGCAAGACTAATTAGACGCGTGCACGATACCTACGATTCACGCTACCATATTAGTGAGATGTATGCGTTCACAGACTCAATGGCCACACTTTGTTGGATAAAATCTTCCCCGCACCGCTGGCAAACTTTTGTCGCCAACCGCGTTGTCAAGATTATTGACAATTTACCAGCTGCTAACTTTCACCACGTCGCGGGAATAGATAACCCAGCTGATTGTTTATCAAAAGGTCTTACACCCGAAAAGCTAATATCTCATCCATTATGGTCACAAAGTCCGTCCTGGCTTGCGCAAGACCTCTCGCTGTGGCCTATCACCAATACAGACCATAACAGTGTAGCGCTAGACAACGTACCGGAAGAGAAAATAGCCGCACACCCCATTACTACGTCAGATCCAGAAATGTCTTTCTTTCAAGATCTTAATAAACGCATCTCCTCATGGAGTAGACTCACACGTACCCTTGTTTATGTCTGCAGATTTATAAATAAACTACCCCGTTCCGGTTCGATAGCGGTTATCGCGGGCGATATACGCACCGCAGAGCATATGATAATAGGCGATATTCAAAAAAGACATTTTGCATTCTACATTCGACAGCTAAGAGCCAGTAATAATTACTCTCCCGCGCTAATGAAGCTTAAACAATTTTTTTGGTTTAAGCTTCATTAGCGCGCTTCATTTGATGGCCTCATCCACGTTGATGGCCGTCTTACCAACTCCGCTGAAAGTTCAGAATACAAATATCCGATTATTTTACCGCGTCACGACGCTCTTGTGGAGTTGTTGATCGACTACTATCATAAAAAGTATTTACATGCCGGCCTCATGTCTTTGTTAAGTTAATAGTTTTGGATCTTGTCCGCTAGACGAATTATTCGGTCTAGAATTAATAAGTGTAACACTTGCTTTAAATTAAAACCGCGCCCGCAATTTCCTTTAATGGCTGCTCTGCAGGGACAGAGAGTCACACAAGCGGAGAAAGCTTTCGCTCATACTGGCTGTGATTATGCGGCCCTATATCGTATACGCCCATACGAGCTCGAGGTGTTAAAACTCGCAAGGCTTACCTATGTATATTTACTTGTCTTACTACGCGCGCACTCCACATCGAAGTAGCCACGGATCTTTCCACTGTGAGTTTTATCGCAGCTTTAAAGCGCTTCCTATCGCGACGGGGTCCCGTGAAATGTCTCTACTCTGATCGTGGAACAAATTTTGTAGGCACACGATCCTATCTACGAGATTTCTATAATTTTGTCACAAAGGAATACCGCCCGCGTTTAGAAGAAGAATTGGCCGAAAGTCACATTGAATTCAAGTTCATAGTGCCTGCCGCCCCACATTTCGGTGGTTGTTGGGAGAGTATGGTAAAATGTTGAAGAATTATCTTTTTAAGGTTATTGGACAGCAGATCCTTGCGTATGAGGAGTTAATCACAGTTCTCGCTCAAATAGAATGTTTACTAAACTCTCGTCCTCTCACTGTGCTTAGCTCCGATCCAGCTGAACCGACGGCTTTAACACCCGCACATTTTTTGAATACGTTACCATTACGCTCTCTACCTGCACCTGATGTGGAATCTTCGCCAATTTAATTATCATACGCTAAAATCACAGCCGTGAATTGTATAAATAAGTGTAAATCGCGCAAGAAAACTAGGAGTGTACTACGCGAGTGTCAGTCAACCTCAAGTACGAAGAGAAGCTGACGGCGATCTCCAGGTGCGTACCTTCAGTTTTATGTGTCGGTTGCAAATTTCAACGAAATCCAATTCCAACTACCTTTTACAGTCCACTTTATTCCAATTTTGAACCACGCATCATCAGGCGGATAAACGTCTCCTATTCCATAAAATTGAAATTGACAAAAATTTGTACTGCCCTACAGTAATATTTTTCTTTAAATATTTGACGCACACATCAAAGTCGAACTGTGTAGTTATATGAAATCGTAAAAATATTTTACAAAATGATGTCAATAGGTATTAATAAAAGTTAAGTTACCAAACTACGTTTAGCTTACAATCAACAAATGAGGTGGAGTAATTTCAGTACGCCGCTGTTTTTGTAGTTCAGAGGCAGTTTAGCAGATTTTGTTCGTTAATGTACACTAAAAAACACGATTTTTACCAATCTCGCAGTTCTTTTAAAAATGAATAAGGAGATATAGAGAGATATATTTTATGGGAAAATATTTAAAATGTATTAGGATTTCAAGCACCATTGGACCCAGTTTACATGTGTCTTATCACTGTGTATCACATAGTTCTAAATCTTCCTCTTTATTTCCTGCTGCAATTTGACAGTCGATTTAGTTTCGCTGATTTTGTTTGTCTTAATTATAATTAATAGTTTTAAAATTATTCTCAAATTAGTCATTATAATTACCTTTGACTTTTCAATAAACGTGATTCCTTGATTATCATATATAAAACCACTATGATTTTTGCAAGATTTAACGACGCAAGACAGCATATTCATTTTTGTTTTTTACTTACGACAACTACGTGGTAGAGCCATGCTGCAGCTATATTATGGTTGTAACACGAATGGGTCGGCTCGACCGGGGAAGGACCACGCTCTCACAGAAAACCAGAGTAAAATAGCAGCTTAACGCTGCTGTGTTTCGTATGGTGAGTGTAGAGAACCGGAGACCCTTTTTACTGGCAAAGAGGCATTCCATCTTAGTCCTCACGGGTGACAACGCATCTGCATCTTGAGTCTTTATTGAGGATAGATGTAGATGTCTATGGGTCACAGTAACCACTTACCATCAGGTGGACTGTGTGCTCGTTTGTCACCCGATCCTATAAAAAAAAAACTACTTCTCGCGGACGACGTTTGTTGCGTAATGGCGGGCCCTAGACTTATTTTTACTGTGAAGACGCAGATAGACACATAGTCAGACGAAGAACCACTAATTTGGATAGAGTATTTTTTATTTAGTCCCTGGGACTGGTTTTTTCCAGAAGATATTACCACTAAAACACTACTATTCTACGTATTTATTATATTATGTATAGAAGATAAGTATTTAGATATGACAGACTATTTGCAAAATATTATGTCTCGTTCTCACTGAGTAAAATTTATTAGTTTGTTGTAAGCGTTTCTCAGTGCTGCACCTCTCTCAACATGATCGGAGGAATTATTTTTGTTGTAATACTTTCGGTCGTTGTGTACTTTTACAATAAAGCTTATAAAAGACCCCACAACTTTCCACCTGGTGAGAATATTTGCATGCTTCTTTTGTATTTACCTATAATTGTATTAATCAATTATTTTGGAAATTGTGTACATCTATAAAACTTCTCAACGAAGACGGTTACAATAAATGTTGTATATTCTGTACCAAAAGTAATCAAATTGTAAAATTGTGATTTGTGTAACTTTTCTTTATGTGTGTGTCAAAAAATTATTATTATTATTATTATTGTAAATTTTCCTTCTTCTGTCAACATTGATTTTAAAACTAGTTATTACCTGCGCTTCGGCGCGTAAGCTTTAATAAAAAAACTTAGTTCGATAATTATTATCAAAAAACAACTTTAAACTCAGTTCTTTTTTATCTTAAAAACTTTGGGAGATATAGGAAGATATTTAAGACAAAAATTAAGATATTATTTTTAAGAAAGAAGAGTCTTATCACTTAGACGCTGCCGCCCATCTCAAAATAACTAGCGATTCACCACGGCTTCGTCTGGATGGAATCTATTAATGTGGCGTCTTGAGACTTTAAAAAAGTCTTCAATGATAATTTAGTTAATCAATTTTTCCATATAACAAAAAACATTACCAAGTTTTGGGAATAAAATATAGCTTAGATCACTGATGGGTTGTGAAATTTCATAACAATGTGTTCAGCCATTCCAAAGTTTATCCCAGACAAACAAACAAATTTTTACAAATGGTTTTTCATGCCTTAATGGCCCTAAGCTCGATAAAAGGCAGTTATTTCAATATTACAGACAAAGTCAGATTACACGGTGTCAAAACTAGGTCATTATTAATCTATGTGTGGTGTTTTAAAAAGAGGGCTAATATTCTTATGTTTAAAAGATGTCGTTGGTTGGGACTAAAGTGAACTTGTTTGTTACGCAGGTGATAACAGCGTCATTATTATTGAAAAGTTTAAGTTTTTCGATTTCTAGTGCATGTATAATGTATATACACAAGACAATGCCAATGCCTCAGGCCCGCATTATTTTTATTTATTTTAATTCTTCTTCTTTTAGAAATATCCATTTATTTTAATCTAATTCATATAAAACACAACTAATATTTTTTGAAATATACATGCATCTCTACACTTTTCTTCAATTCTTTTCTTCACTTCCCCTGCAATGAAATCTATCAAATGTTTCACCTCAATCCTAAGATGCGCCGGCGTGGTGGCAGAAAAAATCGTTGATGCCCTCATTGTTGGAACTTCATATCGAAGTCTGACCGCCAGTTTATCATAAGCGACATTTTGACCGAAATCGCGTTTTATATCATAAACATACCTATTGTGTATGATTAGCACAACAAATTAAGATTTCCCGTCGAAATAATAAGTTTATCGTTAGCACAACTGCTTTTTGTATTTAAATGTTATATCATCTTAAAATCAATCATTTAAAAATTGCAACATGACCGACCCTTATACTATCGCAACCGATACTGTAGGTATCGCAAACAAAACTATGAAAACGTGTCCTAATATGTTTATTCTAACAAAAGTTTCAGTAAGTATCTCTCTGCACTGAAAGTATTTAAGTCTTTATAGAAAAAAGCACATGGTACACCCGATAGAAAGTGGATGCTGTGGCTCATAGACATATATGTCTATACTCGATTAAGAATCAAAATGCAGATTAAATGTCATTCCCGAGGACTATGAAATATACGATCATCGATATCATCTTAGTTCCTGTAAAGAGAGACTCCAGTTCTCTGCACTCACCATATGAAACACAGCAGATACTATTTTACGCTTGACATAAGTAACCTTGGACTTAACTAGTTTTCATTGATTTTAAAGTGGTGTTATTTTCGCGTAAAACCCTAATTTTTTTTTAAATAATAATATGTTACTCTAAACTTCTAAGTTACTACTTATATCTGCCAGTGAAAGTCTTGTCGAAATCGGTCCAGCAGTTTCGTTCGTTTCGTTTCGTCTGTCTGTTTGTCGGAACAAACAGATAGACAAAAAAATTTTAAATTTTTAATTTATTATTACAAACAGATACTTGAGTTTATTTATTTATGTAGATAAAAATCGCAAAAACCATGATAATGAGCTATCTTTTTACCAAACATAATGCGTTCTGTTAGATTTTGGTTTATTTCTCTGAAGCATTTAACACCACATTATCTAGCAGAATAGATAACACTAGATTTCCCATTACTGAGGCGAATATTAAGCTTGTTACACTTATGCTAACTGATCTATGATTATGATCTAGAAGCAGTTTTACCGCATGCATTACTTTACAATTTTTTTTCTAAAGTCACTAATTGTCACGAATTCCTCACTAAATCTTGACATAGGTAATAAAAATTTAGGATATCGTTGGGGAGCTAGGACACCAAATCATACCTGCCAAAGAGTACATAATTACTACAGCTACAAGCACATGCAAATTCTCTCAATTTATTGCCGTGTAATCTTTATTTTGCTTTTTAAATCGATCATAAATGTTATATCCGTCAAAATCATCTTTTTTTTTAAATGTTGTTATATATTATTTATTGATGTGTTACAAATATTAAAATTGAAGTGCCTAATTATATTTTTGGCGTGTTTCAATAAATGTTTTCTTTTTGTCTTTCTATAAACCACTTAGCGTAAGCGATGGAAATCAAATTTTACAGGAGAAGGTTTTTTAAATATCTTTTTCTTTCTTTGATAATGGCGAGTCCATTATCAGAGAAAAAAAAATGTACTGACACTGGCAAAAATACAGTTGTACTACTTTTTCCTGTGTCAAGTAGATTATAAAATTATCCTTTAAAATAATTTGTTTAAAAACTACATTAGTTTTTAAGCTGAAATGACTAACAGACTTACAGTTCACCTGATGAGAAGTGGGTACTGCAATCAAAGAAACCTGCGGCCAACTTCAAAGAAAGCTACAGATACGTTGTCACCTCTGATAACTTAAGTGGAATGCCTCACAGCCGGTTATACTGTCTCTCTATACCCTTCAGATCGGAAAATAGTTAGCTAGAGCTAGAGCACAGCTATTTGACAGCAGAAATAGATAAGCAGGCAGTACCCACCAGATGGACCCTTAGGCAAAAAAGGATCCACCTAGGGATATAAAATTAATTTAAAACATTTATAATAAACCCCGCTGGATCGGATCTCGCCTTTGTAATCTCATGTCAAGTCCACGAATACAACTGTCTACTGCATCATAGTGTGTCCGAGTGAGACCTAAGTTACTATTATTGTAGTAGACTGTCAGTCAGTTGTTATGGTCTTCGAATAATTAGAATTAAAAGAAAAATTAATAAAAAAGAAAAAGGTGACTTTTAATAACTAAAAAGAATAAAATGATTCCCACATATTAGCTTCAGACGGTAGTGCCGAGGCACAGTGTATAGAAGTATTAGAGCCCCGAATTCAGAAGATAATGTACGTGTGGGAATTATTTGATCATTTTACGTTCCTTGAAGTCGGCTTTTACTTTTTATGAAAAGTCCATACCTATATAAATGTTTTGTTATAATATGAACTCTCTTCTTTACATCGAGAATTCTAGAATTTATGGGTTAAAGTTAATCAGTAAATAACTTTAAAGTTTGTGTACTTACTTTTTTAAAAACCTAACCTAAACTTAAGACAGGCGGAAAAAGATTTTATAAACTTAATGTCATACTTATTATATTCCTTACTATGTTTTTTCAAAGCGTTCGGTTGCACAAAGAAGCTAATGTACCTATTTTATTTGCGTTACAGTTTATGGTAAAGCGCAACATAAACTAAGCAATTAGTGATTTTTGGTAATATCGATAATAAATCGTAAAATATTAAAAGATTTTTCTTCGCTTCTTTTTCGAACTGTAACAGCCAACTGCTAGACATGGGTCATTTCCATTTTTAATAGATTTACCTCAACTGGGTAAACCCTTAATCGCCTTGCCATGTGTAGCCATGTGTCTCAATTTTGACGTGGGTGATGGATTTGCAATCTATTGGAGGCTATGAGATCTTTAAGGAATTTTTCATAGTCGCCTGCTATGACACCCCCCTGAAAATATATAGTAATGAATTTTATTATGCCGCCACTATAATAAAGAAAGCAAACTATATTAAAGAATTGATTTAATTTTCTCTAGCTATTCAAAGGGGGATGGCTGCTAGTGTCTTCGGAACCTCGCCTAAAGGAACTCCTTTTTAATAGTATTTTAATTATTACATTATATTTTTTAAGGTTTTTAGTTTTAGGTTCATTGTTCTAGTATATATTTTATTTTATAAATAGTGTAATTTTTAATTTATTTATTGTTGTATTTTATGCTGTGAATTTTCATGCTAATCTAAAATTTATTTCCGCTGAACCGTAGGTCCACCGAGCCTTCCATTATATGGCGCGTATTGGATTATATTGGCGAAAGCGTACAACGACCTAGCAGCTGCTTGCATCAAGCTTTCAAAAGAATACAAATCAAAAATTCTAGGATTCTATTTAGGACCATTTCCTACTGTCGTTGTCAATGATTCCAAACTAATTAAAGAAGTTCTCAATCGCGAGGAGTTTGATGGGCGTATGGATATTATTATTGGCCGATTGCGGTCATACTGGAAGAAGCTTGGTAAGTCTTGTCCTCAAATTATAAAACAAAAGGCAGATGGAGTACGGCAGAACACTCGAATTCGGCCAGCAAAGCAGACACAACCTCACAAGCAAATACAAATTCGCGACAGTATGAAACGAAGCGTCGAAACGTCGAAATACAATAAAGAAAGGGAGGGTATCACGTCATAGGTTATTCTTGTTCTACGTGTATATACAAGAAGATACGATAATTATTATGTAACTAGCGACCCGCCTCGGCTTCGCCTAGATGGGATATATTAATATGCCGCTACTTAAATAAAATTTTAAATTTTTTAAATATCTTTGTTTCGAATAAATATAAATACAATATCATAAGAGCAATCCCTCCTGGAATTTCTCTCTATTTCTATCTTCAAACATTTCTAAGTTTAGCACGGACAGACAGATAGAGAAAATATAAAAAAATGGTATTTAATGTCTTATTAGCACGGCAATAACCTTCTGAGCGTTACTTCAATATTACAGACAGACACCTCAAATTAATTTACATGTTTTTTTTATAGGATAGGGTGACAAACGAGCACACAGTCCACCTGATGGTAAGTGGTTGCTGTGGCCCATAGACATCTACATCTATGTTCGATTACGAATCAAAATGCATATATGCTGTCACCCGTAACGCCTCGTTTCCAGTAAAAAGGGTCTCCGATTCTCTGCACTCACCATACGAAACACAGCAACTTTAAGCTGCTATTTTACGCTGGCATTCTGTGAGAGCATGGTCCTTCCCCGGTCGAGCCGACCCATTCGTGCTACAACCATAATATAGCTGCAGCATGGCTCTACCACATATAAAATATGTGTGTAGAATAATCTATACATATACATGTAATTCTATTCTAATATATTCTACTCTTGGTGTAGAATGTATAAGTATGTTAAAAATATTAAATAAAGGATTTTTTTACAGAAAATATATTAGAATATATTATATACTAATATTCCAGCTTAACTTGAAAACTTAAAATACTTGGGTTAAGAGTGGTTCACAACAATATTCAAATGGCAGATTTATAGGTGATAGAGCCACGCTGCAGCTATATTATTGGTATAGTTGTAGCACAAATTGGTCGGCTCGACCGGGGGAGGACCACGCTCTCACAGAATACTCGCGTAAAATAACACCTTAATACTGCTGTGTTTCTTATGGTGTATGTAGAGAACCGGGGGCCGTTTTTACTGGAAAAGAGGCATTCTATCTAAATCCTCACGAGTGACAACGCATATGCATTTTGATTTTTTATTGAGGATAGATGTAGACGTCTATGGGTCATAGCAACCACTTACCATCAGGTGGACTGTATGCTCGTTTGTTATCCTATCCTATAAAAAAACAACAACATTTTAAGTTCGTGGTCTCCACCCCACCTACCATTAGGCAACTGTCGCTTAAATTATTTAATTATGTTATTATGATATGCTATTTCTAATGGAACAATTATTTGTATGTTTACAATTACGCTGCTAGATTATGCCAGCCATTACATAGGTATTTAATAAGAGTTTGGATACTCTGGCGAACTCACGCACATAATGACGTACGTGTTTCTACAGTGTGGTCACTTGATTGTCACACAGCACGGACACATAAATGTTTCTCACAGTGTTTGCCCCGCGCGCTCCATTTGCCTTTTTATAATCTAAGGTCTTCTCTGATTTCTGTGTAACACCTGATAAGTACATACCATATTGAGTAAATAAGTTATGGTCTATATACAACATGTAACATAAACCACCAATCAGTATTTAAACGTATATCTTTACTTCAGAAAATTCGACCATAAACAATTATATTTAAATTAATTTTGAAACGAAGTTCTTTATCGGACGGTACGAATTTGGCGGATGGGAGCTAGGGGAGAAAAGTGTAAGGTTTTTGTGTTTTTGTTAAGTGGCTATAAGGAAGCGAGATGGAATAATATCCATCTCCCTCGCACTTTTATTGTCTTGCCATGAAAGAAATATTATTTTATTTATCGCTAGTAATTCATTTATTTGTATTTGTTAATCAATAATATAATACGTTTATCAATAATTATATACTACGGAAGGGACTTCGTTCCAACCGAATTTTTTTTTTATTTGCAAATGGTATGTGGGTTTTATAATAATGCAATAACGCAGAGGGCATTGGCCGGGATTAAGAGTATTGTCAAAGACCCCGCTTCACCGATGTATGTGTCAGTAAGAGGTAATAGAAACACATACAATTTGCAAATAAAAATCTACCTTTTATTACATAGGCATACTATAAAGGATTTTGGAAAATTCATACAGTTTTTACGACACTTACTGACTACAACATGATACTACTTTTAGGGGGCATTTTCATATTTGTATGGAAAAATTATATTAAATGATTTTTGTAATTTGAACATTGATAAATTTGATATTTTCAAATTTTCCGGAAATCTAGCTTTTGTTATACTACAATAATATAACGTACAAATTTTGCTTAAAAAAAATTATTGACAAGGGAGAACCTTAAAAGAATCCCAATTAAAAGATGAAAAATTGTTACACAAAACAGTAAAGTTATAAATCTTATTACCTAGGGATGGAAAGGATTTTTACACATACCAGGTTTAATTCTTGTATCGTAGAGATGTTTTATACATACATTACATAAATTGCACGCTGAACAACATCCAGATACGGAATAATTTTTGCGGGCTATATACTTGTTCCGTGTAGTATTGGAGCCTACAGCCCAGCCACTGCTCTATCAAACCGTCAAAAGATGAAGAGACGTCTGGTACACTTCGTTCAGTAGCCCGCCTGACAAGCGTGACTTCCTTCAGTGACATAGGTTGCTGCCGCCCGGAGCCGTATCCGCCAAAGCCAAATTTTTTTACTTTTTAAAATACTTTGTATATTGGCTCGTAACTTCATCTCACTTTATTTTATTGAGATTTTAATTGGCATTCTTTACAATTTAGGCTAGGGGAATAAACTCTCCTACTTTACTTTCCATTAGTGTCCGACCGAAACCGGATTTTCAACTAAAACAGACACCGAAAACGAACCTTCGGTCTGGGTGTCAGTTAAGGCCGAAACCGAAACCGAAACCAAAACTTATTTGGACATGTTATTTTTTTATTATAAACTGAAATCTGGTATATTTTTTATATATATACAGATAGGTAATGCATATTAATGAAAAATAGTAATTGTTATTACAATACTAAAATAAATAAATATATTGATTCATCACTATTGTCATGTAGCAATATATTTATTTATTTAAAAGTAAAATATCAACCTTATAACGTTAAGAAATACTTTTGTAAGTAAATTTTGTAAAAAATGCACACTTATACCCATAAAAAGTTACTCGCTAATTGAAAACGTATTTTATTGTGTTCACAATATTGTTAAAACTAATATATTATACAATGAGATCATTAATGTAATTGAATTATGAGTAATACACCAGTCACTAACGCATTCGAACGATGCACGATAATCCACGAACACTTGCGTTTCGGCGTCGCCGAAGGTTCGGCAGATTTTTTGCCGAAACCGAAACTGTTACCGAAACTATATTTTTTTGCCGAAACCGAAAAGGAAACCGAATCTTCGGTCGGTCACTACTTTCTGTAGAAAAAAAACTGTTGTATTTACGGGGCCATACCTTTCCACAGAGACGCATATTTTCAGTAGCAGTAGCGGACTTTCACAAACTGCCCAAGAAGAATGAAGTTAATTATTACTACGTCATAAATGACTAATTTCAAAGTGGACGGTATCTAATTACTAAAGTAAATTAGATACCGTCCACTTTGAAATCTTGTAAAAAGAAATGATATTTATTCACAGTAATTTTTATTTGCTTAGGCATATTCTTCACTGACGATTACTTCTGGTACGTGCAAAGGAGGTTCTCACTACGATACCTTCGTGATTGTGGCTTCGGTAAACGTGACGACTCACTAGAGTTCACTATCGCACACGATGTCAAGGAAATGCTTGATATGGCCTTAAATGGGCCTAAGTACCCTGCTGAAAATGTGAGTACATACCCTTTACTTATGACTGAGCTATCCATATTTTGGTGAGCCAAAACCATTTTTCCCTGAAGTAGTCACCACAGTCATTTATCTTAAAATGGGAAATACAGAATAAATATCTGGAATGGTACAAGGTTTACAAGACATTGAGTATTTGCAAACTATTTGAACGTCTTTGAGTCCTTACTGATTCCAGCTGCTTGTGCAAAGATGGTAAACCTCAAGCAGTATGACATAATATAATATTAATAAACATAATATTAATTAACAATAAAACATAGATTTAGGTACATCGTACCTAAATCTATGCAAAAGAAGACAATATTTTCGAAAAATAAGGGCATGGAATTAAAATATATAAATTATTAACATGGTTAAACTAACTACCTACTGGACTGGAAAGAATACAGTATTAACATCAACGGCGAGTACATCACCCGCCTACGATTTCCTGAAGATATAGTCCTTTTGGCAGAATCGCTGAAAGACCTAAGCACTATGCTCAATGACCTCAATACTGCTCCCACTGGGTAGGTCTTAAGATGAACATGGACAAAACAAAGATCATGTTTAACGTCCATGTCACACCTATGCTGGTAGTTGTGCTCCCAGCACTAAGCCTGTTTACCTGGGATGAATAGTCCGACTAGGTAAGTCCAACTTCGACCGAGAGGTCAATCAACGTATTCAACACGGCTGGGCAGCGTTCGGGAAACTACGACACATCTTCTCGTTAGACATACCTCAAAACCTGAAAACGAAATTGTACAACCAGTGCATGTTGCCAGTGATGACCTAAGGAACTGAGACGTGGTCATTCACTGCTGACCAAATGAGGAAGCTCAAGGTCGCTCAGCGTTCTATGGAGAGGCCTATGCTCGGAGTTTTTCTGCGTGATAAACTTAGAAATGAGGATATCCACAGTAAAACTAGAGTGACCGACATAGCCCAACGGATTAGTAAGCTGAAGTGGCAATGGCCTGGCCATATAGCTCGCAGAACCGACAACCGATGGTGAAAAAGGTTCTCAAATGGGGGCATCGTACCGTCGTAGATGGAGTGACGACCTGGTAAGACATGCAGGAAGTCGATGAATGCAGGTGGCTCGGGACCGTACTTTGTGATATTCCTTGGGGGAGGCCTATGTTCAGCAGTGGACTTGTGAAGGGCTGTAATGATGGTGATTATCACAGATAATATTCTATGTCACGTAATTAAATAGTATATCCATTAAAATATATTTCTTTATTAAATTATTTAATATAAAAATAATAGATGTTAACCCATTTAAGCACCTACAATCACATATACACATGCATATACACACACTCTACACACGATACATACAAACACGCACACAGAGAGAGAAAGAGAGAGAGAGAGAGAGGGAGACGCGCGCGCGTGCGCAAACACACACCAACATTAGAGCATAGGTATTCTTGCTCGGCTTATCCTCAATATTTAATATTATTAGGAAGAGCGGTGCCTCCTTACTTATTTGATATGCCTTGTGAAAGAACGAAATAAATTTTCATATGACTGCAATAATTGTGTGATTTTTTTTGGTCAGGTGATGCTGAAATAATGTATTTCATGAAATACCACCGGTACCAAAGTTTTAATTTCGTAGCCTATTATACAATTCAGAACGCAATCGATACATTAGATAAATTATAAAACGATCTGTTAAAATACTCAAAACAAAAATTGATGGGAATTGATTGGTAATGGCACATGAGTAAAGAAATATGGTAACAATATCTTTAAAGTAACTTTGTAAACAATAATAATAATAAACCATAAATCGTTGGAAAACATCATCTTTTTTAAAGATTTTATTAATATCTCATCTCATCCATCATCTTTTTCTATATTTCAACCAAAAACCTATCGAAATGTTTCTTTCTCTACATTAGTAATTTTTATTGTTACTCTTATCATCACTATTAGATAAAGCCAATAAGCATGATTTAAGTATTATCGTTATTGGAACGAAGTTCCTTATCGGACGGTACGGGTTTGGCGGATGGGAGCTAGGCGACAAAAAGTGTAAGAGCTTTTCGTTATTTTAATAAACGCTAATAATTAATTAATTTATATTTGATAATCAATAATATAATATGTTTATCAATAATAATATACTATTAGAATAGAATAATAGAAATGAACTTCGTTCCAACCGAGTGTTCCATCACACTCACGCATGTTTTTTTACTTCAATTAAACTCATTAAAAAGCTTTTAAGCTTTTAATTAAAAAGCTAAAGTTCTATATTCATATTAATATGTAGGTTTTGTATTGTTAATTGTGTAAGATTGTAATGATTGTAAGCTTTTATTTCTTATAAAAAAAGTCCCACTGGATTTTTTGTTGGTTCTTCCTAGAACAGAGGTATACCTCTGCTTGACTCTATGGCTTCTACTCTATTACCTCAACCTTTCTTGTAGAGTCATAAAATTTTTGAGTATATTACGTCCAAAAGATATCTTACTATAACGAAGGGTCCATTTATTATATTATTATATTTCCGGACCGTTACTGCTGCTTCTGGTGCAAGAATACTGAAACAGCATAGATTTGCTTGAGTTACTTCAGTTTCTATCATACCAAATCAATAAATCGCTATTTATTGAATTCGTGTACATTCCGTTACAATTTATAATGTTACCTGTTTATTGAAATTATGGCTTAAAGTAACAAAGTTCGTTTTCATGTCTTTAAATTTTAACCATTTTTTTTACACTTTTCCTTAAGTATCACTTCAGTGAATCCAAGGCAATAATTATAATCGGCAGAGTACCTAAAAAATACGCAGAAAATATTTAAAAAAAATTAATAATATTTTAAAACCTTCGAACCGGGGTGGTACCACGACCTTACAGAATACCAGCGTGAAGTAGAAGATTACTTCTGCTTTTCGCTTGGTGAGTGCAGGTGGCCGGAGAGGCCCAACCTCCCCTCACCCTTTTTAACATGGTAGTGGTAACATGATAATAAGACATTACCCAGCAGGGTACCAGCACCCCTGGCCAAAGCTAACCTCATCTTCCTGAGCGTGGGTGCTCAAGCTGCCCCACGTATTCTGAGGGGGGGGGGCACATCCACTACCATCTGGAGACGGCAAAGCCGGCCTTGCTCTTCCTAACCGACACACAGGTGTCCTCTTGGGCTGATAATTCGTATCTTTCCTACCCGGGGTACAAATTCGAACACTCATTTGTGCCTCGGGCTGGGGTTTGCATATACGTCAGAGAGGATATCTGCTTTCGACACCTCGGCAGTCTTGAGGTACGGACTTGTCCATCCTATGGCTGCGCGTAGACAGTGACGACCATCCCCGCGTCTACGGGTGCCTATATAGGTCCCATAACGGTAATGCCGACACAGACCGACTCATCAACAACGTCCAAATGGCTGCAGACTCCGTGCTACAAGAGGTGCCATCCGCAAATCGTTATCCTTGGTGACTTTAACGTCCACCACGCTGAATGGCTTGGTTCCGGTTTAACCGATCATGCGGGTAGATCTGTTTATGACTTTGCCTTCGCATATGGTCTGGCACATCTCGTTACTTCACTTACCCGGATTCCAGATATGAAGAATCATGCACCTTCCCTGTTGGACCTTCAGCTGACCACTCGTCCGGACGGATATCAGGTGTTCGGCGATGCAACTCACGCTTCCATCGCGGTTGCGTTCTGCGGGTTGCCACCGTGTTTGGCCAGCCGATTGGGACAGGATGCGGTCTTTTTTTGCATCCCACCCTTGGGGGCGGGTTTGCTTCTCGCTGGATGATCCCAAAGTTGTTGCTAATTCTATCGCTGATGTGGTGTTTTAGGGAATGAAACTTTTATTCCATCATCTGTGGTACGATACGACTTAGGAACCTTCAAGAAAAGAGCTTACACCTTTCTAAAAGAACGGCAACGCATCTGCAATTCCTCTGGTATTGCGGTTGTTCATGGGTGGCGGTAGTCACTTACCATCAGGTGAGCCGCATGCTCGTTTGCCCCCTTTTCTATAAAAAAAACATGCCAAAGGCAGACCTCAGCCACTCCTGCAAAATTGCTTCACGCCATAAGCAGGAGTGCTACCGGGCCTGGGCTGACGCATCGACGTCTCGGGATATAAAAAGCCGCCTACAAAAGTGAAAAGCCTAAAAAGCATCATTACCAAGGCAAAGTCAGAACACATCGGCAGAATTAGCGAGTAACTAATTTGACTTCGTTCGGGAACACGTGCATTCTGGCTACCGACCGCCATTACACTTCTCGTAGGGTTCGATAAGCTGGTGATCTTCTAGTTTACCTAACTCATATCTATGAGACTACCGACCGCCATTAAACATCTGTGTAGAAGCAGTAGAGTCCAAGGGGGAGGCGTGTGCCGTTTGCTTGGACGTTGCGAAAGCCTTTAATCGGGTTTGGCACAAAACGCTTCTTTCGAAGCTCCCTTCCTGTGGGTTTCCTGAGAAATTGTGCAACTGGATCACCAGTTTTCTTGCAGATCTGAGCATGAACCGAGTTCTTTCCGATCGGCTTGACTGACTGATACTGTGAAGAGATGTTACATCTTTTTGCATATTTTTTCTCATCTACCACGGGTAGTGCTCTGAGCAATTGTTCGGACTAATTCCAGCCGCTCAATTTCACCATCGCACATCGTGGCACATCTCGCGATACCATCCATACCATCTGGATGATTGGCGAACCACCACTGTTTACAACTTTATTGTGTAATCGACTACCACCACAGATTTTTCCGAACCGATACAACTTAGAGAGCTTCAAAAAAGAGCCTACTCTTTTAAAAAGGCCGGCTACGCATTTGCAATTCCCTTGGTGTTGCAGTTCCTTATGGCCGATGGTAGTCACTTACTATTGAGTGATCCGCATGCTTGTTTGCCCCCTCTGCTATAAAAAAATATACCTAATTATTTAATCGTTAATTTTAAAGACACGCAATATTAAAATTAGTAAATAAATAGACTATTCATTTTT